TATAGAAAACAATGAATCTCACAATCATCCTTAACAGTTAGTTACCATGAGCAAATCTTTGTTACAGAGAGCACAAGGGATCTGTGGCAGCAAACATCTGGCTGTCGAGCTTCAGCACATCAAGCAGGTTCTGCACGTCAACAAGCTTCGGGCCCGCGCTTACCTCAATTGACCGAGTGAAGCCGGCCACAGTCAAGCATGTGCAGTACTAGCATTTGTCAGGGGTGTCACAGACAAGATTGGCTACATCTTGAAGCGTGACGTCGCTGACGTGAAGCATCAAAGTTCAGGGAAGTTTGCAGTTTATGATCATATCCTGGACGGGCCCAACTAGCTAGACATCAAAAAAAGATTTGATAGACCACAAATCCTCTAAAAGGACGATACATGAGACTATTGAAATAAAAAAATTCTTTATTCAATAGAGAAGGAGGCTTGGTACTACCACCTGCTTAGGACCCTGTAATTAATGTAATTAAAATTAAACCCAAGCATACCACTGCAAGACTTCAAGACACAGTAAGTTCATTCTGTAGATCGGACCATAAATAAAAATTTAAAATGTGAAGGTACTCTGGGTTAACACTAACATTGGGACGTCAGTCACCTCAGTCTGCCGTAACCATGGGTGCTGGAAAGCACCCGAAACATCTGGAATTAAAAATCAAAGAAATAAAACGCGATAAAATCGATAAAAATAGTTGTTAAAAAAACTGCATTTGTGAAAATAAAAACTTCTATATTTTCAAAACCCCGATGTTTTTTAAAGCAATTCCTTTACCATTTCATTGTTTTAATTGCATATTATCATATCTATATGCTTTTATATGTGGGCACTCATGGCCGAAGTGTCTATGAAGAGTGGGCATTCCCCTTTGCTGCTAAATATATGTACATGTGTTGTATTTCACTCTTCTCATCAATTCACTTTGTCTGTCTGCAACCAGGGCGACAATTTTTTTAAAGGTCATATTCAAACAGTAATAATACTGATTTTTTTTTGGTTACAATTAAGATTTTTATGTTTTTGGTTAGGAAATGTTCTGATCTATCTGATTAATGCAAAAAATCATTAGGTAACTGACTTACTTTTTTCATTAAAGTCGAAAATGTGAAAAATAACCGATTTTTTTTACATTTTTTTTCTTTTCTAAGTCTTTTTAGGATCTAAATACAATTTTGCAAGTTTGCTTTTATTTTATTACGCGTATCTTTATCTATCCAATGAGACATCTTTTAAGAATGTAGGACTTCTACATCGGTGAATATTGTAATTTTAATGCGCGGGGTCGTGGTGGTGACACTGAAAAATTTAAATGGCTGCCATTTAAATACAGCTAGGTCTAAATGAGATTTGAGACATGATTTGTCGATGAAATTGATTATATTTTATAGCATTAAAAGCTCCGAAACCGGTAACCGAACACATCGCTGCTACCCGTCGCCGGTATGGTTATTTTACGTCTAGCATAAATGAGATGGTAATAGCTGTGGCGTAGTGTGGGGGGGGCAGAGGGGCCATGGCCCCGGGTGGCATATGAAAGGGGGAGGCGGCAAGTGCCATGACTTTTTCAATTGGAAATTAAAAAAATTAACTCCAAACTGCGCCCGCAATGTTACGTGCCAAGCAAACCGGCAAGGGTGCGTAAGAGAGGAGGCGAGATGAAGTCAAATACTGCCAAAGTGCTAGCGATAACCCCGCGCCCGGCTGGCTGGCACTGCGGCGGCACACAGTTTTTCCCAACGCGAACGAACCAACAAGCGACTGCGAGTATTCAGTTATTCAATCAAACAAAACAATCACTAATGAATATAGGCCCAAGGAATGCCACAAAGCACGGACTTCCTGCATGTCTTACCAGGTCGCCGTCACACTAACTAGCGCGAGGATGCCCTACACTTTGCCTGCCTGTCTAAGGCTGCCACTCGAGAACTCGAGAACTCGAGAAGGACCACGTCTCAAATCCATAAGTCATCACTAGCAACACACACTGATTGAACAATCTCGTTTTGAGATTTTGAGGTATGCCTGACAAGAAGATGCGTCGTAATCTCCCGAATGCTGCCCAGCCGGATTGAATTCGTCGATTGACTTTAAACACCATTTGTAATGACATACCGTCCAACCAGAATTGGCATAACGCACATCCCTTAACCCCCAGAGAAAGTGTTGTCCCATTCCAAAAAAATCGAAGATGAGTAATGTGCTCGCTATTGACCTTAATACCGTATCCTTTCCAGTAGTAGCTTGAAACGTCCTTCAATCCAGCGGTGAAGAGTTTCGGGTATATTATGTCACCATGTCTTACATCGTCTCTGCAGTTGGATAGGCTTCATACGCTGGTTGCTTTCGGTGGTCGTAAGTTGGTTAAGCTGGTAACTTGGATAGCTATAGTTGTTCCACTGTACAAACACTTCAGAACTTCGATATACCAACAGTCAACTTGGCAGCGCTGAAGAGATCGAAGCACTGTCCAAATTTCGACGGAATCAAAGGCTTTCTCATAGTCCACATACGCAAGATAAAGTGACAGATTGTACTCTTCGGTCTTCTGTACAATTTGCGAAAAAAAAACCGACTAGTTCGGGAGGCTGGAAGTTGTTGAGTTTGCGTGCGAGACAACTCGTAATGACTCTCTAAAACAGCACGTAGACGCGGCTCTGAAGGGAGATCGGTCAATAGTTCTTCAAGACAGAATTTTCACCTTTCTTGAAGAACAAGACCACCGCACTTCTGCTCTACGCCTCCGGAGTAGGGCCACCATAGAGGACGGAATTAAGGAGCTTCTGAAGGACTTCAAGTATCGATTTTTTATCCGGTTTTAGAAGCTCCGCTGCAACTAAACTGTAATTCTATCTTCGTCCGGAGACTTGCCGTTTTTAAGGCGCTGGAGAACCATTCCAATGTTGCTCAGACTGACGTCTGGGAGATTATCGGAATGGTGTCGCCTAAGAATTGCTCTTGGATCGTTATTCACACTTGCGTGTGACTCCGACGATGACGTGTACAGCTGCCCATAGAACCTCTCAATATCACTCTATCTCAGACAAAACAATAACAATTCTTATTTTTACTACGCGAAGACTTATTTCAGAATGTAATTAATCCACGACAGAGTAATTCGTAGTAAGTCTTTGAAAGTTTCAAGTGTAGTATAAAGTACTACTGGTAAATCTGTTCTCAGAGAGCATTAATGAGGATAAAAATGGGTCACAACATGTCTCTTACTTATATGTAACCTGAAATTCAAAAGGTGTTGATAGACATTTCAGGAAAAAAGTTCGCCAAAAGATTGCTCGTGTCCAAAAGGCCAAACATTCCATGATTTTTGACAGATCCCCGCATGAGCCTTAAGAGAGTTGAGGAATATTTTACTAGTCTAGATTTCATTGAAACTAAAAGCAAAACGGCAGAAGGTATAAGTGACATGATTGTAAGCAAATTTAAGTCTGACGGACTCGATATCATAAATTGTATAGGATAAGCTTACGATACTGCCACGATGGCTTAATGCCACACAGGTGTGCAACAGCGGATAAAGGATATCAATCCCTATGCCGAATCAGTCCTTGCTCAACCTATTCTCTAAACCTATTTTAACTCATCGAACTATATTACTAACGTATTTTACCTACGTGTAGCTGCAGTGGAGGTAAGTTTGGTGACTTTCTTAGGCACGCTAGAACGCTGTTACGTTTTTTTTGCTACATCAACGCAACGTTCTTCTTGCAGCCACAGGTAAAAGCTTAAAAAGAAGTCAGGACACATGTTGGAGCGCTAGAGGTGATGCTGTAAATTCTATCAGACATCATTATAAAGAAGCTTTGACTGTACTGGAAAATCTGAGGGGACCGAATGAAAGCTTGAACACACGGATGTATGCAGGAAGTTTATTAGTCGCTATGCAATCATTTTATTTCTATTTTACTTAGGCTTATGACAACTGTTACTGCGTGAAGTTAATGATACTCAAAATTATTTGCAAATAGAGGGACTGAACAATCAGTGTGCTCAGAAAATAAGTGCTTTACAGACAGTGTTAGGAGAAAAACGAGAGAATTTTATGAACGACTCTCTATGATATGCTAAAAATTTTTGTGAAGAGCTTGGATTTTCTTTTAAACTCCCCAGACGAATCAGAAGGTGGCATATTTTTTGCGATTGGAATTCTCAGTCCGGGAGCGGCAGGCATTCCGAAGTCAGGATTTTTTAGCGATTGGAATTATCTGTCGGAAATTCTCAGTCCGGAAGCGGCAGGCATTCCGAAGTCAGGAAGATGGCGGTGTTTCCCCAATGCTTCCGAAAGCACGTAATGCCGATTATCCTGAGCCTGATCTATATTTTATTCTCTGACTAAGAGAGTGAAGAAGCTGACATTGCACCTGTGTTAATGCACGCTCGTGTACTGTAATCCAGAACGCAGATAGTTTTGTCTCTATTGAGACTGGCCGCCGTGACCGATATCAGGTCATAAAAAGGTATCACCTCTCGGTAGAAAGAAATAAAGTTCTGTGGGTATGACTGTATGAAACTAACAAACCAATTATGTCATTTAGTTCCAAGCTGTGTCTTTCGGCGTGAAATGCACGCAAACCATCTGTTTTTTGTTACCGTGTAGGACCTGCGATGGGGTGCAGGCATTTTTGCCTCAACTAGTTTCATCATTCAATAGCAAGTTAGAAAAACTCGATGTAAACGCCTTATGAATAGGTAAAAAAAAGCCCGTGAATTTAGAATTCATCTAATTTATTAATTAACACAAGTGGATTAAACGAATGGATGTGGTTTTTTTGCATAAAAATATAAGTATGCTTAGATAAGTTTTTATGTGCAAATAATGAAAAACCTATAATAATATATAATCAAATTATTTCTGTAGCACAACTTTGACAATCAATCCATTACAATGATATTGTGTAACTGTTTGTTGTTCGAATATATTCAAATAAAATAAATAAATACTTATTGAAATTCCACTAGAAACTTTTATACGCATCAATCACTCCGTGAAATCCGAATCTTTATTAATTTTGTTGTTGAGAAGGTTTTGAGTTTCTTGGACCAATTTTGGAAATGATGGATCCAGAAGGCACAGTCTAACGAAGTTCTTAAAACATGGCGGTAAATCAGTAGTAAAACTGGTGACGTCTGTAAAAAAAAACACGATATAGAAAAACACACATGGACTTTAAATAAAAGTAATGGTGGCTAATGGTTCCTCACCACAACACTCCATACACCGTGTGTGGAGTGTTGTGTTGTGGAATTAATAGAACATGGTATAATTATTGTCTGTTTATAAGTATAGATCTCCGAAAGAAAGCATTGACGCCGTAACTACGTTTTTCTATAATTTTGAAGGTGTGTTACAAAAATTTTGTAGTACTAATGAGAAAAAACTTTTAATATGTGGGGATTTTAATATAGATATTTTACAAAGTTCACGGCTTTCTACAGAATTAGAAAATAAATTGTTAAATTTTAACTTACGGCTGATTATTTGCGAGCCTACACGTTTACAGAGTGGCAAGTGTATTAATAATATAATTCATAATATAAGAGGCAGTAAAGGTGAAGTGATAGATCTGGGGATATCAGATCATACAGCTCAAGTCTTAAAATGTCCTGTTAACAAATCATACATCTCTCATTCTCATTGGTTCATGTTAAAACGGGATTACAGTATAGAAAACTTAAATAAATTTAAAAATGCCATCAGAAGTCTCAGTTTTAATAGTGTTTATTAATGCCTTGATCCTAATGAAGCGTTTAAAATGAATTATTTAAACTATTGTACGAGATTTGCTTTCCGACACTCAAAATTAAAATTAATATACATATATATATATATATATATATATATATATATATATATATATATATATGATCCGGAACAAATTGCTGAGGAATTTAATAATTATTTTATCAATGAAGTCCAGCCTGTAAACCAGTTTAGTAATAGCTACCAAAGTTATTCATCCATAAATAGTAGACTGAACTCAATGTTTATGCCTGCATGAATTCCTCACGATTTATATAAAATAATTAATAAGTTAAAAAATACTAACAGGCCGGTAATGATGATAAATTTCCCCAGTTCTAAGTATAGAAAATGGTACTTTTCCTAGTGGTTAAAATATCAGTTATAAGTCCTTCATATAAAAAGGAGGACAGACATGACTCTAAAAACTACAGGCCTGTCGCTTTGCTTCCAATATTCTCCAATATAATAGAAAAAGTAATATATAACAACTTATATTCTTATTTAGAAATTAATAACATCTTAGCAAACGAACAATATGGTTTTAGAAAATGTAAAAACATAAATATGGCCATGTATGGGTTTTTGGAAAAAGTGATCACCGGTATGAATAATCGTACACCAACAACCGCCTTTTTCATGGATATGACCAAGGCGTTTGATTACGTTGATTTAAATAATATATAATATAAAATATGGAATCAGAGGTTATGTGTTAAAGCTTATTATGTCATACCTGAATATAATAATGACACAAAATGACTAAATAAACTGAATAAATAAGGAAACAAATTACTAAGATAAAAAAGATCTGTCCGTGTACTAATATTGAAATAACATACCTTTCGCAACAAAAGCAAACAACCTACGGTGTGCCGCACGGAAGCGTACTCGGTCCATTACTATTCTTAATATATATCAATGATTTGCCCCAAGTGACTCAGCACCCTATGACAATATTTGCTGATGACAGCACAGTTTTATTCACGGGACGAGACAAGGTCTCATTTGAATCGGACATAACTCAGAATTTATACAGGATAATAAGCTGGCTGAATGACAATAATCTTAAAATTAATTTAGATAAAACGCATATTATGTCATTCAAACAAAGGAAAAAACAACCAAAACTTAATATTAACTATAAAACTAAAATCATAAACGAAAAAGAACACACAAAATTTCTGGGACTTTGGCTGGACGAAAAAATGACATGGAGTAAACATATTGATGACATAATAAAAAGAGATAAATCAATACCACTATGCACTACATAACCTTATAAAAATTACAAATCGTGAAACAGTCATAACCGCCTACCATGCATACGTCTCTTCAACATTGAGATATGGTATAATATTTTGGGGAAACTCCCCAAAACGCGAATTAGTATTTAAAGCGCAAAAGAAATGTTTACGAGCTGTATGTCAGTTGCAGGGTACCGATAGTTGTAAACCGCAATTCATAGATCTTAACATTCTGACCCTTCCATCTTTATATATATTCGAAGTAACTATGTTTGTAAGGAAACATTTTAGCATATTTGAAAACGCTAACAATAAACGACATAGGAACAAACTACGTACAAAACCTCATAAAACAGCACTGTATTCAAAAAGTTTCCTGGGTATGGCTCCTAAAATTTTTAATAAACTCCCAAAAAACATCAAATAAACTGATAATATAGACAAATTTAAAAAATTGCTTTCGAGTTTTTTAATAAATAAAGTGTACGTACTACTCTATTAAGGAATATTTTGAAGATAAAATGAATGGTCTTTGGTACCTACAATAATTAATGTCCAATTTTTTTTAACTTTATGGCGTTAAGAATTATGTAATTTCTAAACATACGCATTATAACTGAAATTGTTATTTTATTAAAAATAAATTTTCATAGTGCGAGGTGATAGTGATAAACAAATATTTGTATGCCTTTTTAGGCGAAACATAGTGTTACGAGCTTGAGGTTCGTGACAATAAAAATTGCCGATAAAATTACCTAAATTAACACTTTAATTTACTTTACACAAATTAAAGTTAAAAACACTAATAATTAAACACACTAATTCACTTTATTCCGCTCCGAAGCTTCGCTTGTCTCGCCAAATTAACACTACTACGATCGCATCTTGCAGCGCCTAGTTATATAAATTAGCAAAGAAATATCCAGAATGTTCAAGTAAACACGCGCAAGGTACCGAGCGTTCGAGTTTCGACTAGGCGCTGTTGGTTGAGTGATTTGTGATGTCATTTTCTCAATGCTCCCCCTCGCTCTCGTTCCTGACACTAGATGGCGCTAGAGTATCGTTGACTGGAGCGCGTAACACTGCCCCCTCCTAAGACATGCTCGTCCCGAGCATTATTGGCCCCATAATAACGCGCCAAGCGATTCACATGGACGATCTTAGGAGTCCCTCTTGCGCCTTTCTGTAACGGCTCCGCAATGTCAAGGGCTGTCCTATCCCGTGGTGCACCAACATTGTACAATTTCGGTGCTCCTCTACTACGTTCCGAGGTCCCCGCTCGGCCGCACAACTTGTACATGTACGACACCAATCCTCGACATCGTCACGATAATGGACCCAGTAAAACTGTTCTCAGACCTTCAGTAGAGTTCGTTTAACTCCCAGATGGACTCTTGAACGACCATTATGGCACAACTGTAGAACATTCGGCACTTTAGCTTTAGGGACAACCATTTGCAAACGACAGCTGTCTCTTCGACCATTGTCCCATTTACGGCACAGGACTCCATCCTGAATCAGCAAGCTGTCCCATTGGGCCCAATAGCTTTTCGTGGTTGAACTCATCGCTGAGACGTCCCTCCACTTAGGCTTGGTAGCACGGGCCTTCATCCATCCCAGAATCGGCTTGATGTCCGGATCTTCCTGCTGTGCATGTCGTAGGTTGTCCTTCCACCCGTTGCTGAAGTGGTCTGTCCTGAGCATCCTCACGGATACCACCTCCTTACTCTCTTGCCTACTACCATGGTTGCAATCTTCAGGACAAGGTCTTCTTGACAATGCATCTGCGTTGCCGTTAGAATTCCCGCTGCAGTGTCTGATAGTAAAGTCGTATTCCTGCTGCTGCTGGGCGGTGCTGTTAGTCGCACTTCCTTTCTGAGACCGTTCACCTTCCCTTCCTAGGGTGTGCTCAGGGCAGCTGGACCGAATATGGCCCGATTCCCCACAGCCATAGCACCTAGGGCTGTATCTTTTATTGTGGTCGCGAACCGTAACTGCAGTAACCTCCCTAGCGTGAGGTGAACGATGATCCTGTCGCCGCCAGGCAGTGTCGTTAGCTGCACTACCCTCTCGAGATCGATCAACTCTCCTTTCCACGGTTCGCTTAGGGCAGCTGATTTGAAGATGGCCTTTTTCCCCACAGCCATAGCACCTAGGGCTGTATCCTTTGTTGCGGTCGCGAACTGTAGCTGCCGCAACCTCCCTGACGCGATGGGAACGATGATCCTGCCGCACGGCTTCCACTTCCAGTGCATGGGCCAAGGCGTTCTTAAGCGTCTCGTGGTGCCCGAGCCTCACAGCAGCTCTGACTTCCAGGTCGCGGAAGCCGTCGATGAATGTCTGCACCAGGTTCCCTTCAATGAGCGCAGGTACAGACCGGTACGCTTTCCGCACCAGCTTCTCCACCTCTAGAGCCCACTGCTAAAGGTTTTCGTTGATGCGCTGCACGCGATCTTTAAGCTGCGCACGAAAGACATATTCCAGGTGAGCGTCGCCATATCTCGCCTCCAATGCCTCAAAGAGTTGCTCATAAGTCACTTCCTCCCTGAGAGCTTCCAGAACTGTTAAGGCCTGGTCGCGCAGGCCTAGTGTGAGAGCAGTCATTGCCTGACTGTTATTCCAGCCGTTCGCCTTCATAACAGCTTCGAACTGGATTTTGTAGGCTGACCAGGAAGAAGTCCCGTCGAATGGTGGCACCTTGAACCCACGTAGCGAAGGTGTAGTAGCTACTACGGGAGTTGTAGTTCCCTCCCCAAGTTTGAGTTCGTCAAGTGATTTCCTCATGTCAGCCATTACGTTGTCAACCCGATTGTTCACTTGGTCAATTCGGGTTTCAGCTTCTGACAGGCGGTTTTCATGTTGAGCAACCTTATCCTTCACCTCCCTTATCTCTTTCCCGAAGGTAGCGTGAAGGTCCTTCATGAGAAGCATCTGTTCCTCCTGTCGGCGGGCCTGTTCTGCCTGTCCGCTCTGCAGCTGCTCTTTCAACTGACGGACCTGTTCCTCCTGTCGGCGAGCCTGTTCTTCCTGCTGCTCTTTCAACAGACGGGCCTGTTCCTCTCGTCCGCGCTGCAGCTGCTCCTGTAGCATCGCCATCAGAGCACCTAAATCAGGTGCTGCAGATGCAGGAGCTACTGACGAACCGGCCTCCGTTGCTGGCGGCTGGCCTACCGATGTCTGCGGCGTTCCACCACCAAATCTTCTCTGGTCCGTCTCATGCTGGCGTTGACTGCGGGTACGAACACCCTCCGTTTCCTCCTTAGGTAAAATCGGCATGATTTTATCCCACTTCTGACACCAATTGTTACGAGCTTGAGGTTCGTGACAATAAAAATTGCCGATAAAATTACCTAAATTAACACTTTAATTTACTTTACACAAATTAAAGTTAAAAACACTAATAATTAAACACACTAATTCACTTTATTCCGCTCCGAAGCTTCGCTTGTTTCGCCAAATCAACACTACTTCATCGCATCTTGCAGCGCCTAGTTATATAAATTAGCAAAGAAATATCCAGAATGTTCAAGTAAACCCGCGCAAGGTACCGAGCGTTCGAGTTTCGATTAGGCGCTGTCGGTTGAGTGATTTGTGATGTCATTTTCTCAATGCTCCCCTCGCTCTCGTTCCTGACACTAGATGGCGCTAGTGTATCGTTGACTGGAGCGCGTAACAATAGTGTTACTTATCATACCTTTTCCACCAAGTTTGTAACTATTTACCTACGTTTTACAAATAAATTATTTGATTTGACACGGTCAGTTAAACTGATCAGTTCAAACTAAAACTTTCGATATATCCATAAATAAACATTCATGTAAAACTCCTATATTAATATATTTATAATGATAGATATATCGAAAATCCACTACTTATTTTAAAAAATATCAACAGTTTTAGTTTTAACTGATCAGTTGGAATGATCAGTTGAACTGACCGTGTGTGAGTTTCATTACGGGTACTTTAGATCATTCACGATCACCAAGAGTGAATAGACTTTTGTTACCCTAAGACAATGCGATTTACCATCAAAAGCTACATCACCACTTACCACCAGGTGGAATTGTGGTTAAGCACTGGCTTATATTTAATCAAAGAAAACGTTGAATTTTAAAAAAGATAAGATTATATGCAATGAAATCAGGAAAATGAGTGTTATTTATTAAAATTAAGTATTCGCATAATTACCAGCGTCAAATAGCAGCTTAATGCTGCTGTGTATCGTATGGTGACTTTAGAGAACCGGAGACCCTGTATGGTGGAGTGTAGAGAACTGGAAAAGAGGTATTCCATCTTAGTCCTCAAGGCTGACAACACATCTTCATTTTGATTCGCAAACGAGGATAGACGTAGATGTCTTTGGGCCACAACAACCACTTACCATCACGTGGACTGTGTGCTCGCTTGTCACCCTTTTCCTATAAAAAAGTACATTTACAGAACATCTTACAGTTTGTTGTTTATATTCTAGCTTGTGTATTTGTAACTTTGATCATGTACTGATAATACGACAAAATAACGATTAAAAATTGGTAAATAAAAATTGTGCGTGTAATTGTGTACACACGTACGAACTTAAACTTCTTTACCAAATATCATTCTTCTTTTATAAATATAGTAGGTCAAACTACCCACATATCGCCGGACACTTTGAGATCGAACCGCGTACAAACAGACGAGTCTGTTCACTGTTCAATTATGTAAAGAAAATTATTTAAAAGAACTTAATATAATTTATTATAATTTATAAATTGCAGTCTCTGAAGATAAAGAATAAATATTAGTCAAAAATCGGGTTTTTATAAACTTGTTTGTGACGAATGCCACGCCGTTTACGTGGTTCAGACTGGTCGCAATTTCGGTACGCGCTATAAAGAGCATTTGGCCGCGTACAAAAATTGCAATCCTGATAAATCCCATTTTGCTAAACATCTCTTGGACACTGGACACAACCTAGCTAGCGACCATTCCTTTGAAGTCTTACATACTTGTAACAAGGGGCTGCGACTATGTGTGCTGGAGCAGTTGGAGATTTTAAAAAGTAATAATGGTAATTATGCACTGCTGAATGAACAAATGTTTCTAATTTACCTTTGTTAAACATCTTTAAGGCTAATCTTTAATAATAATTTTAAGGTTAATAATAATAAATAACTATGATAATATCAATAAAACAATAATAATAATAGTATTTAAAAAAAATATTAATCATAACAATAATGATAATTAGTAGCAGGTTTGTTATCGCACGGCGCGGTCACTCGCTACTTTGGTGGGGAGCGATTGTGTCGGCGTGTATAAATAGCAGCTGTTTCGGCTCGCCGCTCATTTAGCGGTCAGCCACCGTAGAGTCTACATTACCTGAAGATGCCTCGTGTAGAGGCGAAACACGTGTCGTATTATCGTCAATGGTGTATCTTACCTGGAATAGTGGTGTTGGGAGTAGTGGTCGTGGTGACGGAGTTAGTGCATGCAATTGAGGGAGGGCGAGAGGTGCTCTTCAATCCAGGTAAGACACATCATTGTATTTATTTAGCGGAAGGTTGCAAAGAAATTTATATTTTTATTTTTTACTTAGCACTTTATTTCGCTCCCAAGTCTCCGCTTTTGTAGCCATTTCAATACAGGCAGTATTCAGTCGCGGCCCTAAACGGCTTTATAAAGGCTTTTTCGAGCTAAACATCTAGAATGTTCCAGCAAATAACAGTCCCGACCGATAGGTGTAGAAAATTCAAGTGTGGAGTTCCTCTATTCAATACTAGATGGCGCTAGTGGGAGATTTCTAGAAAGATCTTGATGCTCCTATTTCTGCTCCTTGATGCTAGATGGCACTAATAATCATCCACTATATACCGGGCATTAATTATAGCGCGCAACACTGCCCCTCCTAAGACATGCTCGTCCCGAGCATTATCGACCCCATAGGATCGCGCGAGGCGATCCACATGGACGATGTTAGGAGTACCTTTTGCACCTTTCCGTATCCGGTAGGTTATGTCGTTGATCCTGGTCACAATCCGGTACGGGCCGTACCATTTAGCTTAAAGCTTAGGAGATTTCACTTTGCTGTGGACTGGATTGTGCAACCACACTCGTGAAACTTCGTCGAACTCTTTGCTGTTAATTTAGCGGCCATACCGGGTTTTCACCTTTTCCGACATTTGCTGGTCCGTTTGTCTGACGTGCTTATAAATGTCATTCATTTTGTTACGCAAGTCATTTTCATAATCGGTTATACTGCGTGAGGCATCAGGTGGTATCCCGGTAATCAGGTCTGCAGGCAGCCGTAATTCTCTTTCAAAGTTTGCGAAAGCTGGTGTCACTGATGTAATTTCGTGAACAGCGCTTCGATATGACAACAAAAACGGTTGTATGTGCTTGTCCCAATCTCGTTGCCGATCTACAACTACAACTTTGGCTAGGTACCTCTCCAATGTCTGATTAAATCGTTCTACCATTCAATTAGATTGCGGGTGGTAAGAAGTCGTTCTTGTTTTATGAGTAGCCATAACTCGGCAAGTTTCCTGGAATATTTGAGACTCAAAATTCCTACCTTGATCGCTGTGAATCTCTAAAGGTACTCCAAAACGACAGACGACTTCAAGAACTAGTTTATCTGCAACTGTCGAAGCTTCTCGATTTGGAATGGCGAAGACTTTATGAACTAGTTTATCTGCAACTGTTGAAGCTTCTTGATTTGGAATAGCGAAGACTTCTGGCCACTTAGTGAAGTAATCCATCACAACCATGAAATATATTCTACCACTTTCACTTTCCGGTAACGGCCCCGCCACGTCAATGGCTATTCTCTCCCATAGTGCACAAATATTGTACTTCAATGCACCTCTACTACTAGTCTGAAGTACCTTTACAGCCGCACAACTTGTACACTTCTGACATCAATTGTTACGAACTTAGAGTTCGTGACAGTAAAAACTGCCGATTGAATTACCAAAATTGACACTTTAATTATCAATTAAAACTTAAACACACTAATGATTAATCACACTTAACACTTTAGTTCACTTTATATCGCTCCCAAGTCACCGCTTGTATCGCCAATTCAATACTGCCTTGGCCGCGGCCCTAAACGGCTTTATATAGGCTTTTTCCACCGAAACATCTAGAATGTTCCAGCAAATACCAGTCCCGACCGACTAAGTGTAGAAAATTCGAGTGTGAAGTTTTCTAGAAAGCTTAGTTCCTCTACTCGATACTAGATGGCGCTAGTAGGAGAGTTCAAGAAAGATCTTGACGCTCTTATTTCTGCTCCTTGATACTAGATGGCACTAATAAATCACCCGCTATATACCGGGCATTAATTATAGCGCCCAACAGTATGTTACGCCATATCTTCACCAATTGAGACCCGATTTTGTAGATTCTTTTTTATTAAATAGGTTACATTTCAGAGGCGTTGGCAAAAAAAAAACTTCTTATATACATCCCACAGCTGGGCCCAGGCCTCCTCTGATTTCTGAGAAGGTTTTAGGGCAAGGAATTGTCCCCTCAGCGACTTCACTTCACTCTTAAATCCAACATTCAATTTCACATTCTCCTCACCCAACAAAAACATACAAAAATTCACGCTCCTATCGACTCTCTCCTCCAAGTCTGCTTTTACTTTTGTAAATATTTACAATTATTATAGTTACAAATAATTAGGGATTTTTAATTAAACTGAGATTTTCAGCTATTCGAAAATAGTTTAAATAAAATTAAAAAGTTATAAAAAAATTATGGCCCATGAATACTTTGCTATAATTTTGAATTAAAAAAATGATAAAAGTGCATTAGTGAGATCTAAAAATTTAACTTTACCTTTTTTATTTAAAGCATAAGTTAATACTTCTTCAATGTTTCGATAATGTGGTTTTATGTTGTTAGGCCTGGAATTATGACTTACAACGGGAAAATATTTATTTAGTAGTTCAAAACATTGATCGGCATTGTATTTTATTTGGAACTTAATTTTTCGTATCTACAAGACCATAAACAACATTGTTAAAACAATTTAAATGCAAAATAAAGATTAAAATTCGATTTTAAGGAGCTGTACGTACTTCTTGAGATGTTCGTCTAATGAATATTACCAAAACGTCTCCTTTATAAATACCTTTTATTTTTTCATTCATATTGATAGTTTCTAAAACTTTATTCTCTGAAGTAATAAGTAGTTGGTCGCAAACTATCCTTAAAGACATATTGCATTCATTAGGACCATATTTTTGCCAGCTATCAATCCGCCATAGCATTAATTTATCAATTGACACTATCAGTGAATCTGAAATAGTATAAAAAAGGAAAATTTTTGTAAAAATATTATAAAACTAAATATTTCTCCAGTACTTAGTCCCATTTGTATTACTATAGGTACTTTATAACTTACAAGACATTATTAGCAGCGCTTAGAAAATTAATCAAAATGAACAATGTATGAAATATGTAGGCGGGAAAAATGTTTTTTTTTTTTGCTGATGTTACGATTCGCCGTCTAAGAAAGACAAAGGCATACTACATATATTTGACACTGGTAAAATATTCAAATCAAATGAGTCCAAAATTAAAGGAGAAGAACGTCACTGCTTTTCACCAACTAGCAAAAACGGGTCAATTGTACTCTAGTTCTATCATTTACATAAATAATAGTAATTTTAAATGAATTTGAAGACACGAAGTGGTGCAATTTAATTTATTAAGTGTCTGTGCATGAAAACTATTAGTGGAAACGATCCGCTTAGCGGTCTTGAGATATTATCACTGACCTCTATATATGTATTATACAAGTACGCTGGACTCGCTATACCATAGAAAATGACTGCGCCAATTTGAAGCGCCGCTAAAGGATGTCTTGAAAAATAAAATTGACTTAATGTGCCAAAGTCTGTTGTCATATTTAAATTATCTTATTTAATAAATCTGTATTTTAAACTTTTAAAATAAAAAACGAAAGTATTTTATGTAGTTTGATTGTGTATAATATTAGTTACATAATAAGAATTATTTTTATTAATAATGAGTGTGCGTAATCTATAAAACTCGTTACCAAAAGGGAAGTGGTATAACATTTCACAAGTAAGTGAATTTACAGCAAATATGAAACAAATTAAAACTATTTGATAATATAAGTACTTAAAAATTTGTTACTAATCTTAATATCATATATACCAACATCTTTGGCTGTATATTACCGAGTTTTGATAAACAATAAAATTCAATAGGGTTGTCGAGTTACTTGCCTATAATACTTATCGATTTTCTTTCCTACCCATATCTGTTAAACAAAGTCGCCAACAACAGACGATTATCAAATGTTTATTAATTAACAGGTTTCCAAGTGAACCTAAATTGAAATTATGGCTTAGAAGCATAAATATTGTGAATTGGCGTCCGAAACAAAATGATCATATTTGTACCAAACATTTCACAGACGACTGTTTTATTAGACATGAGAACTGCCCCACTTTGAAAAAGTGCAGTATACCGACAATATTTTCTGGTAGTACCAGTATCAGTAAGTATAAAAGTATTAGATTATTATTTCGAATGTTTTTTTTTATTTCTTCTTTCCTCATTTTTCACCAAACTGAAGGGCCATAGCAAAGTGTCGAAAGGTTCGCCTGATAATGTCGAGCCACGTTGTATGTCTTTTAGTGGGCTGCGGCTAGAGGAGATTCCTCTCCCTGTACCGCTGTAGCCGAGGTGGAGTCGTAAGGGAAGAGGAGTGTTGATATAACGATTGGCAATGCGCCACTCGAATATCTTTCGCGACTTTGGTGAGGCTGCACCACTTGATGCTTCCAAGTGATAGTTTTCCCTGGCTTCATTCACATATCGGGCTCGGGGAGTCCATAGTGCAGGTGGAGTTAGAGGACGCGAAGGGCAATTTGGCTTGTTTCTGGTGCACCTTATCTGAGAATGAAAACGGGGGAGAGAAGTCGGCAACTAAGGAAGGGCTGCCATTGGGCGGCATTATTTACACTTACGGCAAATTATGTGGACCTCAAATCTTGGATTGCGCTTTGCAACAGTTGTATTTTGGTTTAAGTTGGTTTACTTGTTTGAATGAATAAACTTTACCAACTCTGGAGTAACAGTAGCTAGTATTAGCTTCTCTACGTTTGCGTTCCAAAACGCAAAATGAAGTTATCTTGGTATAAGACCAAAGAGTAAAATTATTCGAGGGTTAGTTACTCTGGTTTAACATAGTATTTGGTCGAATCTCGTTTGGTCATTAAATAACCGTGTAATAATGTTATGGTATTCTTTAATATAATGTTGTCCTTAGTTCTTGGACAATGTCACCCGAAGAGCTCGTATCTCTATAAATGTTTCCTCGGTTTACGATCTTTGTAGAATATTTAGAGACGATACCAGGAGCCTCGACGGTATAGGTTTGGTTGCTTGAGGGAGAGAGAGAGAGAGATAACGCTTTAGTGTGGGATACTACTTGCGAACACTTTGACAGCATCCCATCTCGGCGAAAATGACTTTGTAAATAACTGATAACTTTCAAAGTTTATATTTTTTTATATTATTTTGCTAGCTCGTACCCGGTGCGTTGCTGCCGCAGAAAAAGTAATTGTGGTTATATTGTATAATTAGGAATGATAATACAATCATTGAAATAGAATGATATGTAACTTTCTATAACTTTCAAATAAATAGTCATTATAATACGCACGCCACCTAATGTCAGTTATTTTTGTACCATGCATATAACCTTCGCACAAGTGCAAACAATAAGTTGACTAAGTTTTACCGTAATCTGATGAACGGTATAGCATCGTAGAAAGTAAGAGCAAACATAATTTTTTATATAGTAGAAAATATTTTACTGTCTATAGACAGACCTGTAGTTGATTAGAATAGGCGTTATTATAGCAGCTGATTTGTTTTTTATAATACTAGAACTAAATGAACGGTTGACAATAAACTATTTTAGAAATTATGTTTTTATTTTTATTTTGTGTAGTTAGTTTAATCTTAATAATTTTTAGTTGAATGGTCTAAGGGCTACGATGGCTATCCGAGTACCAGAATACGAGAGAACCAGAATACAAAACTAATCCAACTGTAGAGATGTGTAAGACAGGGTAACGTAATATCCCCGAAATACTTTACCACTACATTGGAAGACCTTATCAAGCTACTGGACTGGAAAGGATACGGTATGAACGTCAATGGCGTGTACGTCACTTACCTTCGATTTGCCGACAATATAGTCCTTACGGCAGAATCGCTGGAGGACCTACGCACTATGTTCAATGACCTCAATAGTGTCTCCTAACGGATAGGTCTTAAGATGAACATGGACAAAACAAAGATCATGTGTAATGTCCATGTCACACCTATGCCGGTGGTTTTTGGGAGAACTTAGCTGAAGTTGTTGACGAGTATTTTTACTTGGGATAAATAGTCCAACTAGGAAAGTTAAACTTCAACCGACAGGTCAATCGACGGGTTCACTCGGCTGGGCAGCGTTCGGGAGATTACAACACATCTTCTCGTCAGTCAGTGTCGGTGATGACCTATGGATCTGAGACGAGGTCTTTTACTGCAGGCCGTATGAGAAAGCTCGAAGTCGCTCAGCGAGCTATGAAAAGGGCTATGCTCAGGGGTTCAAACTTAGGAATGTGGATATCTGCATCAGAACCAGAGTGACCGACATCACCCAATGGATTAGTAAGCTGAAGTGGCAATTGACCGACCATATAGCTCGAAGAACCGAATACCGATGGGGAAAAAAGGTTCTCGAGTGGCAGCCTCGTACCGGCAGGTGAAGTGTAGGACGTTCCCCCACTAGATGGTGTCAAAACCTAGTAAGACATACAGGAAGTTGATGGATGCAGGTGGCTCAGGACATTTCTTGGGGGAGGCCTATGTTCAGCAGTGGACTTGTGAAGGCTTTAGTGATGATGATTGATAATGGCATTACATTGATATGATACATAAATAGAATGGACGTTACGGGTAGAGTCCATCTATACATAGAGTCCATTCTATTTAAGTATAGGTAGGGTATAGAAATTTATCGATATGATTTGGTACACTGTCTCATCCCTATTATTAGTTCCGTGGACGTGCACTTTTGCTGTCAGCGCCAAAATGGCGGAAATCAAATCGCTTCATCATGTCACGGTGTATAGCCAGTCCAGCGTACTTGTATATATAGCGGTCAGTGGATATTATGGTTATCAACTGTCAACTGTAGGCTAGACTGAGCGATAGTCAAAATCTCCCAAGAACTTTGTAAAGTGATGCATTAGCATTTATAACAAATGCTATATTGAGTTTGCTTCGTTGGTCTAGTGGTCTTAAAATGCAGTTGCTGATTATGAGGTCCCAGTTTCAAAACCCGGGTCTGACCAAAATTATTTATTGAGTTTATATGTCAAGAAATTCTAAATAGCGGCCAGGAGTTAGAAAAATTAAGTGTTACGCCCCCGTGTCTTGAAATGCAAGTAAAGCCGTGGGTAATGCATCTGACCTCCAGTCGTGTCGGTTACCGGCCCATCGGACTATAAGATTGAGGGTATAAATAGTATATTATGAGCAAGCACTTGTGCTTGTGCATATACTTGGGCACTTTAATTCTGTTTTTGCGAAGATGGATATAATAGTATCTTTATGTAATTTCCAATATATATTTGTTATTGCTCTTTGCTTTGGCCTTCAATAATCTAATACCTTTAAAATAATTATAGGAGTCTATGAAATTTAGATTCCTATTAAAATAAATTACCAATTATTTTTTTAATAAAATTACATAATACATGCTCTATATTTTCTTCTTTCAATTTTAGTTTCATGACGGAAAAAATATTACCGTAAAACCTAGTCAAGTTGCGGGAGCTGCCGAGAGCTTTTTTAAAAACTAAATAAAACTGATTAAAACTACGTATTCACAGAGAGAGATGTGAATTTATTCTGACCATTGTCTTTTACAATTCTTAATGCTATGCTTAGAGTCTACTTAAATTACTACATACTCAGCGTTTATGTATTTATGCTGATGGACGCTTTAAACGTATTATGGGTGGTTCTGTTGTAAGCATAACTCCTCCCTCCTCAACTGCAAACTTATCGACAAGATTTGGATTCCGATGACTTTGCATACAACGTAAGAGCTTAGACTTATTTTTCCAAATTACAATAATAAGGCTAATTAAAACTAATATAACATAGAGTAGTACAGTAGCTAAACTAACACTTTTCTTATTCACTAAGATTTCACTTTCACTTTCCACTATTT